TTTCATCTTACCAAACCATAAAATACAGAATGGTAATTTGCCTAAGAGTATTGGTCAAAAGTAATCTCCTTTTAAGGTCATGTGAGTTTGCATGAAAAAATGAAATAAAATTTAAGTTCCAATCCAGCTGCCTATATTGGCTGGAAGAGAAATCAGTCCAAAGAAAATATCAATGGATTTGGAGGGAGGGAGGATATATATGTTAAAAAAAAACCCCACCTCAATGGCAAATAGCTGTACTTTTGCAGGTGTTACATACTTCAGTACAAGTGAAAATACAGCAGAACAGCACAGCTAGAAATGCAGGAATTTGTGTGGTATTGCTAACATTGTGCACCAGGGGTCAGAATTATCCCAAAAGGCGAGGTTAAGGTTAATTAAATCATCAGGTACTTAGCAAAGCAAAAGTCTGACAAAATTCAAATGACATCAACTGGTGAAGACAGCCAGAGAGTGGGGAGCCTAAATTTCACAGGACAAAGTCTTCCACAAAGTTAATGCAGTCAGGTTCTCTCCCATCTGGCACACAATGAGAAATATTGTCTCTGGTTTTTTTGTGGAGCAGAAAAAGTCTTGGGGGAAAGATATTGTTTTATCCCAAGTAGTTAGGTCAGGAATGAACAAATTTGGCATGTATGCCCCTGCCCTCAGATCACACCTTTTCTCCATCTCTACTGTCATGATTGTCACACAATTCAGCAGGGCTGCAGCAACAAAAAGGGCATGCTTATCCTTTAAAACAGGGGTCTCAAACTCAACTCACCTGGGGGCCGCTGGAAGTAGAGGCTGGGTGAGGCTGGGCCGCATCAAGCGGTGGTGGTGGGCCACTCATCCCGCGTCGCTCCCGGAGGCCGGCCCGGGCGCCGCCGGTGCTTTGAAGGCCGCAGCCCCCCCCCCCCCCGGCAATGGGCCCGCGGGCCGCGAGGTTGAGACCCCTGCTTTAAAACAAGCCATGTGGGCAATGCATGCACCGTTGTGGAGCAAGACTATACTCCTGGAAGGGTTGCAAGCACAAAAACAGGCTGTGTGTTGTCTCATTGCCTTGTTTTTAAACAAAGAAATACCTCTTTTGTCAACAGGGTACTGCCAAATTTCAGCAGCATCAATGGGGTGGTGGGTCTGCAGCCTGTGCGTGGGTCTCCCCTGACTTTTCCTTGCATCCTCACTGGCCAGAATCACCTGGTATTATGCATCCTTTCCCCCATTTTCCATATGCTCTACTGCACCTGCAGCCAGACATAATCTTCAACTACTATAAATGCATTAAGGGCTACCTGCTTAATGGCGAAAGGGTAAACTTTTGTCTCCCCAGTCCCAACTTTTAAACAACTTGCTGGAGGACACATACAGCCATTGCACAACGTTCTCCTATCCTGTGTACCCCAGAAGTTCTTCCAGGGTATAGTGGGATATTACTGAAAAACTCAGTCGTAATGGCTTTTGTTTCTATGATGGCTTCACCTAAACACTTTCTCTAATAGGTTTCTTGTTCTGGAAAAGGCTAAATGATTAATGGACTCATGACAGTTAGGAGCAAGATGATCCTTACAGTAATATTCTGTGTTACCTGTTTCATTGCAATTGAGGTTAATTAATTACTGTGTCCTTGCTATAAAGGGCTGGAACTCTTGCAGTATGAGAAGTCTGGGAATTCCAGATGCATGTAAACACCTTCTAAGCAATCAGATTGGTACCCTAAGTCAATCAAGTCATGAAGGTACCTTCAAGCTGGCAAATATAAAGCTCTGATGGGAAACATGGTCCATAGATCAGCAGACTAAAGACCATCTGAGCACCCTCATAGGATGCTTTCAGTCGGAAAACCACTGTTTCACAGAAACATGACTTTTGCAAAGCTAAGCCAACTCGCTTGGGTTTTCTCATGCAACTAGGAATTTCAAGGAAGGGTCCTTTTCGCTCCCTGGCATCAAACTACAGATTCAAGTTAATCCTAAATCCATCCAAGGCTGAGGCCACATTATGCTCTGATGTGAACTTCATCACTGGGTCCTTGGGACCAGGCACTCAGTTCATCTTTTGAACTTGAGACCTGAGATGGACAGCCCCTCTTTTGCCCAGCGCCAAGATCTGCCCAGGGTTTCCTTGATCTGCCCAGTTGTTCTTTCCTAGCATCTTCCTTCTCCTTCTCTGGTACTCATATTTCCAGAACTGGTTTCTCTTCTTGCCTGCACTGCCTCACTGCTTTGTAACCCCTTATTGATCCACTGCTTTGTATGCCTAGATAGGACAACATGCCCTGTGAAGCAGCCATTGTAACTTGTTAGCTAGCTTCCATCCCAGACACATAGCTTCACCAGACTGTGTGCCCAAGAGATCTGTCTGGAATACCAGAAGGCCTCTTGGGCTGGATAGGTATATGACTTCAACCACAGGCCTGTCTCCCAGTGGGAGAGAAAGCAGCACAAACTTGGCATGGGTTTTTAACTGTCTCAGTGGTATCTTCCTTGGATGGAAAAGATGGAAGCTCGGAGCATTGAGCCAAGGTATTGCAGGGTCTTGGGTGAAATACAACCCCCCCACACACATGTACGTACGTACATAGCTCCCTTTCCCTATCTTTGCTATTTCCCTCTTGGAGTAGATAGAATCCTAGATGGGATCCAAGGAGAGACTTTGCTCCAGGGCTCTCCATTTCAAATACAGATATTTATGTTCAGCACTGGCAATCTCATTTGTGGACTCTCATAGAAGCTGATCATCCATTGTGAACAGAAGTAATTTCTTTCTCGCATTCCTGGACTAACCAAAAATTAATGGATGAAAAACAGATAACTGCTGATCAAGTTTTCGTGAGAAACCTCCTTTACTGCACCACTGTAGGGTTGGTAATACACAGAGAACATGAGCGGCACCGTCCCTGCCCAGTGCACGTTGAATCCAGTAATGCCGACAGAATGCATGCCGCACAAAGGACAATCCAGACTGAAAATGAAAGCAGACAGCAATGCACAGAATAATTGTGTGAAGCGGTCTGTACTTGAGCGTACTTGAAATGAGAACTTTTTCTGAGCAAAATATGTTCTATGTTCAGGACCACCATGAATCTTCTCAAATTGGCTGACAGAACTGTTTACACGCAGATTACCTAACCAGATCTAGGAGTAGCTTTACTAACGTAAGAGAAGAGGGCAAAATAAAAACAAGCTGTTGTGGCTGGGATGATTAAATAAAAGCCCCCATTTGCTTTTCCTAGCTGGCTGTTGACAGTTCATGGGATGCATCCTAAAAGGTTGCTGGGAGAAAGGGGCTGCGGGGGGATGGGGGAGCCAGGAAGATGTGATACTCCAGTACGTCTACTGAACCAAGGGCAAACCAAGCCAGAGGGAAGATTTTCATTGCAGATTCAGCCATTCATACAGAGATGTAGCTGTGAGCGCTTGCGCAGCCTGTCCATCAGCACCTCTGACCTTTGTTAGATACTTTAGACACAGACACATTTTTAAAAGCACAGTTTGGAATCCATAATGTGGAGCCACGCTTTCTAGAACTAGGGGTGGAAATAGAATTCCATGTGTTTACCCTGCAGATATGCTGGCAAGCAAACGATGGCAGCCGGGGAAAAAAATCAAGATTAACTCCTCTCTGTGTGGCTGTTCCAGCTGGGGAAGTGGGGGGCGGGGGCGGGAGGAGGCCAAAGAGCAAACTGGACTTAAAGAAGAGTAAGACTTGCCTACAAAAAAGTATAAAGTTTGCCCCGAAACTCTGCATAATATTTTGGGATCATCTATGTGTTAAAAACCAAGTTCAAGATGGACCCATCACAAAATTCATCCATTGGTAAAGAGACTAAAATCTCATTTATTCTAACAGAGAACTGAGACACATTGTGCTCAATACTATAGTATCTCCTGAAATTAGTTGCCAGATGTGAAAATTGTTCCTTAGAAGTCAACACTGGTCATATCAGAATATAAAAATGCATTTATGTTCATGGATTTTCTTTCAAAAAGTATAAGGGGGAATACACTATTCCAGGGTATAAGTTCATAACATATGGAAAATATTATAAATATTATAAATTAGTTCTCAGCCTTTAAATCTGAATAAACTTGTCTTTTTACTACAGGTTTTTTAAGGAACAGAGATGTACATTCTAAAATAAATAGATATGGTATTCCATTCATTGGGAAATTTAAAATAAAAAAATGAAAATGAACTAAATTAGCTTCAGGCTACAATTATAAATGTAGCTGAGATTAATTAAATAGGATGCCCCTGGCCTAATTAATTAGGCATTATTATTGTTGCTGTTGTTAATAATTTCATTGTATACTGTCCAATAGGCAAAGGGATTACCCACCTTAGTTTAGCTACTGCAAAGAAGATGCATAAAAGGGGTGTGTATGTCTGTGGGATGGGAGATGTCACAAAAGTATCATAATAATACTAGGAAATAGGCAGTGAAGGGTTTCACATCTCTAATCTCATAGAGTGTTTACTATGTTTCCAACAGTCAAAGGGGTTTTTACTCAAGTAAATTTGCAGTCTGATCATAAGTATGCTCATAGGAAGTAGATCGAAATTAATAATGCAGCTTAACTCTACTATATTTTGATGAGGATTATTAGTGCTCTCCTTAAATAAAAATCTACTACACTTCTTGCCCAAATCCTTGAATACAGAAAAGGGGAATGAGGGTGTTGCTTCTGTGCTCAAAGTTCTTACTAAAATAGCTCTGCTTAGCTATTAGCAAAAATACAAAACCAGTCCCGAAGGAGGCGAAACGTTCAAGGTACTCTGCAAGAAGTTACGGCTTTTTTGGACAGCTATTATTAACCCATCTGTGCTCGCCATTCAGTTACAGCAAATGAAAACAGTAAGACTCTATATACATTGAGTCCTTCATTAAACTATTGATTCCCCCTTAGCATTATCCATAATGTTCCAGCGACTCAGCATGTCAACTGGTGCTCAGCTAGTCTCTTTCCTTTCAATAACTTCTACCGTTTGCAGAGAGGAGATCAGAATGATTTATTTACCTGACATTTTCCAGTCCTGATGTCGTAAAGGGCCACTGAACCATTGCGAGATCCAACTGCTATTCGGTGACTCCGCTCATAATAGCTGACCATGTAGAACCTGAATTGAGCATGAGAGTGAGGAGCAAGTGAGATTTGATGAGACAGTTTGTGATGTAAGACTGCTTTACTCTTTTGTGTACTGCATTCCAGTAATTAATATCAGGGCTAGTATGAATGCTTTATTTCACAACCCCATCCCAAAAAGAAACCTTAGCTGTGGTAAGGGACGTACAGATTTTGTTATGTTCCTTCCATCTTTGTTCCACGGATCGTTGAGCGGTCTCTGTACCATTATCTGTGCATGATGGAATTCTCTTTTTTAAACCAGAATTTCATTCTACACTCATGCAAATGCAAGAAAACGTATTAATGAATGGTCATTGTAAATAGCACACATCAGGTAATGTGCGTTAGTGCTGGTGGTGGAAGTGTGCATTTGAGCATCACTGCTAATGTGGATTCACAGAGAATCACACCCAAAAGTGAAACGCTGGTCTCCAAGTCCATGTGACCTAGAAAAAGTTGGTCTGCTAAGGAATCTGAAGGTTGGAGTCCTGGAATCCAAGCTGCACATGGTTCTGAGAGTGTCTACTAAACAACGGTTTATAAAAACTTGACGTAAATAAATAAATTTTAATCTACTAGAGAATTCTCCAGTATTCCTAGCTCTGGTGACACCATGGCACACTACTTTCTTTGGTTTGTCCCCTTGCCTTAAGAACAAACTGATCCTCCTCCTCATGCAGAAACAAGTCACACTGAAAACTCTAACTCAAGAACATTAAGATTTAAAAAAAAAAAAGCTTTTTTCCTCCTTTATGAATGCCCATGGCATTTGTGTGTATAGTTTGGAAGAGCACCACCCACTCATCCCAAAAAAACAGCACAGGCATTCTCAAACGGTTTAATTCAGAAAGATGTTATAGCATGTTTCTTCTGTTACAGTCTGCTCCTGGCGAAGTCTGTTGTTTGGAAAAAAGAGACTTTATCTTTGGGAATTCATTGCTATGCTGTTGCAGGAAGAGTTTGGGACACCATGCATAGGAAGGTGCCTTCTACTGGGCCAAGCCATTGGTCCATTTCGCCTGGTGTTGTCAACACCGGACAACAATGACTCTCCACAGTTTCAAGGCTGGATTTGTCCCTACCTCTTCCCTGGAGATAATGGGGATATCACACATACACAATGTGAACTGGTATGGAGGTTGCAGTGCTGGACAGGGGTCCTGGGTATTGTGGGTTCTTGTCCCCACTTGGCCATGGAGCTCACTGGGTGACTTTGGGCCAGTACTCACTCTCAGCCTGACCTAGCTCACAGGATTGCTCTCGTGAGGATATTAAAATGCAGCTATGCAAGCTTTCTTGGGTTCCTCACAAGGGGGAAGAGGCAGGCTATAAATGCAATGCAACATCACCATCTTCTTCATGACAGAAATACAGCACAATTGCCCCCTTCTAAATTCATAACCGGTGGGGTACCTCAGGGTTAGTGTGTGACTTTTGTTCTATGGACTTTTGATGTGGCGCAGTGGTTTAAACTGCTGAGTTGCTGGGCTGGTTGATTGAAAGGTTGCCGGTTCGAATCCACAGAAGGAGTGAGCTCCCATTGCTCCGTCCCAGCTCCTGCCAACCTTGCAGCTCGAAAGTAGACAAATGCAAGTGGATAAAAAGGTACCACTTCGGTGGGCAGGTAACAGCGTTCTGTGCACTCTGGTGTTTAGTCATGCCGGCCACATGACCACGGAGACTGTCTGTGGACAAACGCTGGCTCCCTCGGCTAGGAAACCGCGATGAGCACCGCCCCCAAGAGTCAGACATGACTGGACTTTAATGTCATGGGGAAACCTTTACTTTTTTTACCTTACCCTTATTTCTGCTGGAAGGATAACCCTGCTTTTTTTTTTTTTTTAGAACAGCTCTGACTACAAGTGAGGAATAGCAAGTAAATGCAAGCACCAAAATACTGAAAGCACATGACTTGCATTAGCATGCAGCTTGGCATCACCAAATTCACTGTGAAAAGAAATGGAAACTGGACCACAACAGCTATACAGAGATCACACTGCCAGAGGTGCTGCACAGAATTTCTTCACTGCCACAGATCCAAAACTGTTGCAGTACCATTGCAGGATGTGCCATGCAAAACCAATTTATACAGAGAAAACCAATATTAACATTGTTGAAAGATGATGTTAAGGATACCCTGCCTACCCTGAGATAAGATTCTACAGACATACAACATCTCATTATGCTCCCGTCCAGCTCACTTGTAGCCAAAAGCGCACACTTAGAGTCACACTTTGGTGGCCTCCTGAGATGCAGCTGCTTGCAGTTAGCCCTGGCAGAAGGAAACATGGGCATGCAGTAATCCATGCATGCAAGTAAAACAGCCTTGAGAATCTCACGGGGAATTCTTCTCTGCCTGCTGGGCCGGATCTCTAAACTGAGGCCATAAGGAGGTCTCCACAGAAGAAGGGGCTTGTGGCTATTGAACTGACATGCCTCCTGTCAGCCCCACAGATGTATCTAGTTACTAACCTTCTTAGTGATCTGAAAAGTGAAAGCAACGAGAATGGACTATATAGTGGAAACCATAGCTACCCCTTCTGTAATCTAAGATTCATCAATAAGATATTAGCAGGCCAAGTGTTGTTTTTCTGGTCTCCCGAGAAGCTTGCAGAACATAAAAATGTTGGCTGTCAAGACAGTTATGGAAGCTTAAATGGACACTTTTTCCACATTTGCCCTTGGACCAGTATTCTTGATGGTTTCTCTTCCTTCTATCTCCCCCACACATTGTGTTTATCCCAAATTCCAACATTTGTTTGTTTGATTAAAAACTTTTCTAACCCATCTACCACTAGTGTCTCGGGATGGCTCCCAATGAGAATGAGTACGCTAAACAAAACAACCTTTTAAGCTTCCTGGCATCTGATAATCTCACCCTATTGATGCTTCCATAATTTTCTGTTTCAGCTCCATCTTTGAGCCTGTGGAACCACCAAATGCTTGATCGTATTCATGGCTGACGTAAAAGTCATAGCTGTATGCGAAGGACACCACTAAGCTCTTACTCTTGTTGGCATTCTATGACGCGGGTACAACACTGCCTCCTGGTATGGGTGCAATGCTTCCCTGCAAGCGTGGTACATTCCAGATCGCAGAGGCGATAAATGTGTGGACCACAAGAGTTTCTCTTATACTTGCCAGCTTACTCAATACATTCTGAAATACTTGGATTGCTAATTAATGGTTAACTATGCATTCAATGTCACCCTACTTTTAAGGTCTACTCAGATGAATGGCTATGAATCGCCTCCCACAAAGAGCTGGAATCAATTTGCAAACATGATGCTGGAGCAACAGAAAATGCAACATGTCGGACTGTATGAACCTAATCTAAGTCAGCAATATAGGCATCCATCAGTCTGCCGTGTTTGGCTCAGTAAGGTTCTCAATGGACTCAGCACAATTCACTGGGATTTCTCCTGTACAAGATCCATTATAATGAAGAGGGCATTGCAGGAATGCAAATATTCATTTCAGTGAATCATCTTCACTGAATCATAATCCCAAGCACCATAAAAGCCTGCAGTTCAGTGATACCCATCCTTCAAAGGCAGATACGCACAAAACAATTGTGCTGCAGATCTTGCTGAATTAAGGCCTAAACAAGTTGGAGGAAATACAGGAGGTCCTACTGCCTGTAACATTTTCAAAATGTCAAAAGCTACATTACCCTATGCCTAACACAATTACGACCACTATTTTATTGTTTCCTCTTGCAGGACTTCAGTCTGGCATTTTACTGGGCAAGTATGATGAAATACAAGATTACCCCAAATATTGGAAGAGACTAGTTCTGAATGCCATGCAGAGATTCTGGCTAGCAAGTGAACCAAGAGAGCTGATGGGGGTTATATATGGTCACTTTGCTTATAAAACGGCTGCTCTGGGCATCCCGGCTTCTCACCACAGAGCGGATGCAGACTGCTTTGACTAACCGTCCTCTTCCAGGACAGTGAGATCCAGATGCACATCTAAATAGTAACCGTAACGAAATGGCCTCAGAGTTGAGCACTATTGTGATTCCCAACTGCTGACCTGCGGCATATGAAATGTCGCCGTCCAAAATGAGCTTTGTAATGTGTACTCTTTAAAACTGCAAAGTCCTAGTTGTCGTTTTAGTGGATGCAAGGTGTCAATTATATCCTGGCTAAAATAAGATGCTAAAATTAAGGAACAGATTTGAGCTCTGAGAGTAAGCTAATTTACTTTGCAATGCAACCCAACTGTTTTGCAAGTTAACTTTTTTTGTTTTGATCTACAAAGCATGCTCCAGGGCAGCCTAACTTCGAATCTTTAATGAATGTAAATGGGAAAGGCAATTGTCAGCACTGTTTTAACTAACTGACTAAATTTTGCAGACCTAGTGATTGGTGTTAGATGTGTCAGGAAGCAAGTGTGCAGGGAAAGAGTCTCTATGGGCAACACAACATTTATATATTTACAAGATGGTAGGCATGTCATGAGCTGAGCCAGCTGGAGACAGAAGTCAGACTAGATGGCCCAGGAGACCCCTTCTGACTCACTCTGTTTCTGTTTCTATGTTTCTAAGATGTTAATGCCACTTTTCAGGTCAGGATTTGTCATGAGGGGCAGGGCCAACTCAGGGAAGTAATAAAGGGTAGATCCAAAATGGGTTATTTGGGATATGCCAGATAAGAGAGGGCATGCCAGAAGCACAACTAGCGACTTGCCCCTACAGCTGCATTTCTGGACAGAGTGCAGAGGCAGTCTGATACAGGAATCAATCTGAAGCTTCAGAGGCGACAACAGAGGAGTGAGTGGCAGGCTGACCCAAGGCATCGTGTGCCCTGTGTCGGAACAACACATGCCTTCCTTGCGAGCCAAGCTGCGTCGTATCATTATGCTATGCACCAGAGGCTGGAAATCCCACAAGTGCCTCTGTCCCTGCCTTTGTACTGTATTATTATTTAAAATTAAATGACAATAATACACAACATGGTTAACCATTTGTTAAGTCTCTCCACCACTCTTCAGCAGCCATTCCTGGTCTCACCTGTTGCCATGGGGGCTCTGCAAAAGCCTGATACTTTGGGGCCAAACTGCGACAAAAAACGAAATGTGAAATTCCACTTCCTATTAACCCCCCCTGGGACTTCTTTATCCAAGATGGGTGTCCTCCAGAGGTGCTTGTCTACAACTCCCAAAATCTGGGTATTTGGAACTGCAGTTCTGTACAGCTGGAGGGTACTGGGGTGGGACAGGGGCTCTGTGTTAGGGTAAGACCCACAGTGCTTTTCTGTCCAGCAGTTCACCCCTGCTGGAACATCAAACAATGCTGGCACCAGACACTTCACCTAGGGGACATTGGTTATCATTGGTAGCAACACGAACTGAGATCAAAAGGGGGCCCTGATATTGTTTGGTGCATCAGTAATACAGGAGAACAAGAGGTATGAAGCAGCACATTTAATCAGCATAAGAGGGGGATCATATTAAAAGATGTAATACCAGGACTGTGTCGAGTGTTTCCACTTGGATTCCCTCCAGAGTTACAATGCAAAACCGTAAAGAGAGAAGCCAATCTGTCCTGTCATTAGTAGAATGCTGTATCATTTTTATAGGAGCCATAATTATGTACAATAAGATATAACGCATGCTATTTAACACAATTTAAAGGGCAATGCGTCTCTATTAAACCAGCTTCCAGGATAGAGAGGTTTTTCACATTAATTCCAATTTGTCCTTGCTATTTCATTTCAAGTATGTGACAAACAGTGGATTCTCAACAGCACTGCAGTTCCTTCCTTGCTTTTGCATCTTGTTTAACCAAAGGCATCGCTGATGCCATGCATGCCTATATTCTCCGCTTTGGGGAAGCAGTAAGAGCATCTTGCTATTGTGGAAAGTTCCACACATTTACACAGAAAATACAGCAGTGGAGGGGGATGCTATACCAGTGCTGCTGGAGCAAACACGGAAGTTAAAATGACACCTGCATTCATAAACACCTGTGCACAACACAGCAGGTAACCCTCACTGGGCTGAAACTTTCCAGAGCACATTCAAATTTTAAGATGTGTCACAATGTAGTGCTGCAGGAGCTTGTTGTGGGGTGGGGGGTGGTTGCTGTGGCAAGGAACACTATCCACCAGCTTCAGCTGTTCCATTGACTACACAGAAGCAGAGCGTGTCATAAGAGGCCTCCCGGGCCATCTAGTCTGACCCCTGGCTCCAGCCAGCTCCGCTTATGACTTGCCCACCATGTGCATGTCCAGCCTATCCTTGAACACCCTCACCAATGGGGCTTCAACCACCTCCCGTGGAAGCCCATTCCATACCCTTGGGGTCCTAACTGTCAGGAATCCACTACATCCTGGCATCCACTACATCCTTACCTGGGCAGGCAGAGCCTAGTAACAGTAATCCATGCTCAGGTAACCTCCTGCTTGGACTGTTGTGACATGCTCTGTGTGGGGCTACCCTTGAAAATGATCTGGATACTTCCATTGTTACAGAATAGAGCCATCAGGCTACTTACTAGAACTGGCAGGCAAGATCATATGGTGGCAGTCCTGTGTCATGTTCACTGGTTACCCATTGAAGTCTGGGTCTAATTTAAAGTGTGAACATTGACATACAAAGCCCTAAATGGTTTAGGGCTTGGCTATCTGAAGGAACGTCTCCTTCCAAATACACCTGTTCAAACTTTAAGAACTTGCACTGACGTCCTTCTCTGAAAGCCCTCTTTGAAAGAGGCTAGAAGAGTAGCTGCCTTGGGTAGGGCCTTCTCTGTGGTAGCACCCAGGCTACAGAACCTGGTGGCAATGCATTACTCATTTTGGCCCCAGGCCAAAACCTTCTTATTCACCCAGAATTTCAATGGTTGAATGGCGTTTACTGCATAATTTTATATACTGAAGACTATGTTTTACTTACGTGCTGGTATGATTTTTGCCTTCTAGAGATCTGTTCTGGATTCATGATGGGATTAAAATGCTTTAAATAAATAAGCATAGCTGCAACCATTATGCCTGCTTCATGAATAGCAAGCTGCTTGGAGAAAAGTTTAAATAATGAAGAAACAAGACTATCAGCTTGATTTTATTACCTGAGGGATCAGCTTTAGAAATGCTGATCAAAACAGTTTTCCTCCAGCAAAAATTTCCCTTTAAAAGGCAGCAGATGCATGCTGGGCTGCTGAAGGGCACCAAAAAGTTTCAGAAGATCAGTCTGTGTTTTACAGACTATGCTACAGCCATTAACTCTGTGGATCGGGAGAAGTTATGGATGATTTGGAAATAAATAAGGTGATCAGGTTGTCCTGATCCTGGACAAGAAGCTACTGTTCGGTCAGAATACAGAGAAATAGAATGATTTCCTATAGTCAAAGGTATTGAGGAGATGGAATACACCATTATTCATCTGCTCATTCTGTACCCAGGTTGTTTCATAAGGAACGCTGGATAAGGTTCAGAGGAAAAAGAGGTGAAACCTGGTGGACCGTACCTCAATAATTTAAGACATGCAGATGAGCCCATCTTACTGCCAGAAAGCAGCAATTAATTGAAATGACTCCTGATGAAACTGAAACAAGACAATGCAAAGACAGGACTGCAGATGAATGTTAAGTAAACAAAAATCATAATGACATACACATTACACAATTTCAATGTTGACAATGAAGAAATTGTGACAGACTTTGGCTCAATCATTAGTTCCAGTGAGGAATGCAGCCAAAGAATGAGAAGATCGAGACTGGAAGGGCAGCAATGAAGGGAATGGAAAAGATAATCCAGAGTAAAGACTTTTTCCTGGAGACCAAGGCCAAGAGCATCCACACTATTGTATTCCTAATCACTAAGAATGGGTACAAAAACTGGACAGTGAAGAGGATGAAAATGGATGTGATTGAAACATGATGCTAAAGGAGAGCTTTGCAAACAGCCTGGACCAATCAAAAGTTAAACAAGTGGGATCTAGATCAAGGCAGAGTTTTCTACTGAAGCAAAATGGAGGACACAAAAATGTTACGGAATGTAAAAGCAGGAGGACGAGAGGATGCCCAAATATGAGATGGACTGGTTCCATAAAGGAAGCTGCAGTTTTGTGCTTACAAGAACTGGGCAGAACTGCCAACAGGATATTCTGCAGGGCACTTACTCACAGGGTCACCAGGAGTTGGAGATGACTTGATGGCACACAAAACAACACCTGTTTCAGAAAAGCACTCAAAACAGCAGTACTTAGAAGGAAGGCAGCAATGTCACCTTACAACTTCTCCACTTGCAGATCACTTGAAACTTTGCTCAATGCTTGCATTTTGTTCTTGATTTAGTTGCTAAAGCTTCAATTGTTTCTCCTTATCTCAAGAAGTTAAATGTTAGAAAGGTAGAATCTGGGTTGCCATCAGTCATTTTAGCAAGCTATGCGTATGTTACAGATGCACTGTAATGTGATTTATCTGAAGTACAACTGGTTTTCATGCAAACAAACATGGCCTGAAGTGATTACACTATTAGTTGTGAACTGCATTTTACCGCCACTGGGGAACAGCTTCAGAGTTCTCTCAACCACACGTATTTTTAAAAGCAAACATTAACATTTGAGGATGCCTTCCAGGAGTGTACAGAGCTGCTGAATATCCAGCCCGATCAGTTCTGGAGACAGTCCCAAGCAATACAGGGGGCATTAGCACAGGAATCTGAGTTGGATTCTTAATCAGAGAAGGATGATCTGGACTCCAGTTTTGAAATGGAAACTTCAAAGCTGGGGAACTTGGCATGGCCAAGCTCTGCAGCTGACTACATGGGAAGGGGGACTGTAACTTCAGATCAGCTCTAGCTGTGAAAGAAGGCTCACGCCCTGCCACCAACTGGCACTCGGAGTCAGTGGGAACCAGAGAACAACAGGATTCTGAGGACAATGGAGCAGCCACATCAAGAGGGAGAGACAAGGCCTGCCATTCCATTACAGTTTCTACACTTACCGTCTCAAATTAGAGATAGGGAGCAGTGGTCAGTAAAGGAGTATTTTTAAAGCAAGCCATTATCTGAGAAGACTGCTGTGTCTGAATTATCTTGGTTCCTCTATGCATTCCTGTTTATGATAACTTGGTACTGAGTCCTGTATATTAATCTCCCTACAGAAACTGCATTATTGATAGAATTCTAGCTTAAGGTGGGCTTCCCAGATTCAAGTTAGGGGGATCTTGCTGTGAAGAAACCAATTCTTTGCGGTGAGGAGTTTAAATGCTGCAAGCCATTTCACAATTGCACAGATTCTTGGGGTGAGTAGTTATGTAGCTTGATCTATGGAAACTAACGCCTGAATGCAACAGGATGTTGGCAGTGAAGTGCTTGAGCAGCCGGGTGGCCCAACAGGATGGAGTGCCAGCACAGCCTGCAGGCCCGTCGCATTTCTGGTGCCCACGTGTGTGCGTGGGGTAGTGGTGATGTGGCCGACCACCACAAATGTGTAGCAGCAGCCCGCATGTGCACAATTGCACATGACTTGGGCTTGGTATTCAGCCTGCCTGGGCACCGCATTCTTCTGAAGGCTGCTGGCTATGTGAGCATGCGTCAGTGACATATTTGGACATGACCTCTGAGGCCATCGCTTTTTCCTGGTAGCTGAGCGGCTTGATCACACTGGGGTATGGAGTCAAAACGCCTGTGAAGCGGGGCAGAGAAAGGGGAACAAAATGCTCTGCCCTATTACTGGTAGGAGCACTCACATTCCCACTGACTGGATGACTTGAATCAGAAGATATCAGAGAGGCGGCAAGGAGCACTGCCTTCTGCACCTACCCAAATTCCAATTTGGATCCGTGACTGTGCCAATGGGGGAATGGGACCACCGCTGATGCCAGGGCCACATGGGTGGAGGGGACAATGCCAAAAGGTTTAATGCCAAAAAGGTGAGAGTAAAACTACAGCTGCAAAACATTTGCATCAACCAATGCTGTGATCCACATTTTTTTTTACTGTGATCCTACCTGCAGATGGCTGGAAAGCACTCCTGAAGTCCCTTTTTCTTGACTAATGAACCTTCAAGGCAGTACATGATTATATCCATAACCTGTGCGGGAAAAGAAAATCGGATCATTGTAAAGTTTGCCCATCACTCCCCACCCACCAATACACCCATACGATTTTCTAATTCTGAGCCATAATACACCATGGCAAGGGAAGAGTCCAATTACACCCATTTGTGACATGAACAGAACCAGCATGGCTGCTTAACTCACAGCCACAACAATACTTCATAGCTCTATTTGAAGTGTTCCAATCATTTCTTATACATTTCCTCAGGGCTTCTGTAGATTTTGCCACCTCAGTGGGGTCCCAGTGTGTCAGCACTCCGGACTAAGTGAAGAAGTTAACATGCCTGCTACTCCATGCAGTGTGTGCCCATCACACTAGCTTAACCCTTGCAGGAGCAGTGCTGGAACGATATAAAGAGGGTGCAATCATAACAGAATGTAAGAAAAGCCAGGCTGGATCAGACCCAAGGTCCTTCTGTTCCAGCACTCCATACACACGGTGGCAAGCCATCTGCCCTCGGGATCCCTCAAGTGGGATGGGTGCAAGGCCTCCACCTGCCCAAGTGCCCCAGCAACTGGTGTATGCAGGCATGCTGGCTCTGGTAAAGGAGGCTGCACACAGCCAGCGAGTCTAGTAACCGCTGTCAGCCTCCTCCCTCATGAATCTGTCCAATCCCTTTTCAAATATGTGGGCTTGTAGCATCTAAACTCGAGTGATCTGATTCCTGAGCAACCCTATAATCTGCGGCCACTATCAGCCCCAGATTATGAAGATTAGGGTGGGAATAGTTGCTTGCTTTTCCCGGCAGTGACTCATCTGTCTTTTTAAGGCAGTTGTTATCTTCTGATGATCCCTTTGATTGTCAGCCACTTGCCTTCTCACCCGGTGCCTTTGATCCCCATGCCTCCTCCATCCCAGGCTTTTGTGTGTTCAATACTCTTAGCATTATTTCTTTCTTTATTTTATTTCTGTGCCTACTGCCCAACCGTTGATGCTCTCTGGGCAATATACAGCAATTAATAGAATACGTGAAAATAAAACGTTAGTAACAGTTAGAACATTGTAACATTTCACTAGAGATTGGAAACCAAATTTTAAAGGATGCACACAACTAAGACAGACTGATACCACTAGGCCTGCTGGAACAGCTGACCTAATGCCCTCACAGGCTATTTAAAGCAGTTAAATGTGTTGGAATGGAAGGAAGACTTAGCCGGGCACCCGAGTGATCGCAGAGTTGGCACCAAGCAGGCACCCTTTCCCTCTGCAGCCCCCTTGCCTGACTATCACATGATCTCCTGGCCACCCTTTCCCTGCCCCATGCAGCCTTTCTTGGCTCCAGCTCCCTGACTAGTCTGTTGACATTTCCTGCCTTCCATAAATTCCCCTTTCCCCAAGTCAGCCCCCCTTTCCCTTTGTGATACCCTTGCCTGGTTCCATTTCCCATGCTGCACTTTCCTGACATCTTTCCCTGGATGCAAACCACAGTCGTTATTTAATCCGGACAACCGTCTGAGTGGGATGGTGTAACGTGGTGTCCTGCAACAGCAGCAGGTTGGACCTGAGGGCCTTCATGGCCCCTTCCAACTCCACTATTCTATGATTTTATGATTTCCAGTTATGCAAAATGGCATAAAATAAAGATACCCAAAACTGTAAAATAAATTAAAAAATCAATTATAAATTGATATAAGCAACAAGATGGTATGAAAAACACCTATATAAAATGTAAATATAGCAGAAATGATTATTAATAAAAACTGTCTGCATAATACACATCTTTACAACCTGTCTTCAGGTAAGAGCCTGGAGGAGGGCTTCCAGGAGGTTTTTCCTTATCTATGGTGTTCTGGTTTACTTTGAGTTGGCACCAGACTCCTCAGGGATCATTCTGTAATTTCGGGGGGAGAGTCACCACTGAGAAGGCCCTGCGCCTTGTTGCCGCCCTCCAAGCCTCTCTTGGAGAGGACACTAGAAGGAAGATCTCCAACGCTGATCAGGTAGATTCTGGTCAGGAGAGGCATTCTATCAGATATTGAGATTCTAAGCCATGTAAGGCCTTACATGTTAGAACCAGCACCTTGAATCAGGCTTGGAAGTCCCAGGTAGGCAGTGAAGTGGGCCAGAATTGGGTTTATATGTTTATAGCTTGGGGTTGCAGCTACTGTTCCAGCTAATGTGTTTTGCACAAACTGCAGCTTCTGAATGGTCTTCAAAGGATGTCCACATAAGTAATGTAGCTTAGAGATCACCAGCACACGGATTACCGAAATCAGGCTATCCCGTCCAGATATGAGTGAAGTTGGCTACTAGTTGAGTCAAAGCTTTGACTCAATGAGACCATTTGAGTATGAAAACGACAAAGAAGCATCCAGAAGGACACCCCAGTCCCAACTATGAACCTTTGCATTCAAGGGAAATGCAACTCCATTCAGAACAGGTGGAACAGCCTCCATCTGGTTAGAGGAACCACCCACTGACAGGGCCTCGGCCTTGTCTAAATCAAACTTCAATTTATTAACCCTCCACCAGGGCACTGCTGCAGACATACAGATTTACTACACCTACCACCTCACCTGATGGAGATGAAAAGGAGAAACAGGACTGCACATGACTGGCATACTGAGAACAACACATTCCAAAACTCCAGATGATGCCACTCAGTTGAACGGCATGGGGGACAAGACTGACCCTTGCGGAAGTAGAGTTGGGATGAGTCCTAACAGGATGTAGTATTCACAGCCTTCCTCTCACACTTGGTCTGGTCTCGCAGAACAAACTGAGCAGAGCAGAAATCCCTGAATGCTTGCAGAATGAAGGTTGCAGAACTGCACTGTTCTTCCATGTCAGCCACAGTAACACAAAAGGTCGCATGTGATGCAGAAAAGGGACGCTGCTAGAGGTCGCATGGGGCTCCATTCTTGGTGAGCCCCGTGTGGCCACCATCAGTCACTCTCTCCTGTGTTGGGGCAGTGCCACAAAGGAGATCTGGGAGTATGAACAGGGCCTCCCTCCCCTTGTCGCTTTCCAATCACAGGTCATCATTAACAACCAACGCTGTTTCCGCGCCAAAGCCCAGACTGAAATGTATACAGGCTTTTCTGCAAACTGTGAACTCTATTCTTCAGGCTCGTTCAAAATGGGAAACTAGGGTTAATGAGAGGTTTCCTGGTTAACCAAAGCTTGTGTAAAGAGAGGAGCAAATGTTCTGCATGATATGGAATAATATCCATGGAATAATCTTAGAGCGTACATGGGCAAACATGTGTACATAACATAAACATGTTATGATTAAGATACTGTATGCATAAAAGGATGCCACGGTGTTACAGTTTGGGGGGCAACTGGCCCCCATGTAGTGAATATATTATGTGCATGAAGAAAGAAAGGATGAGTAGCAAAGAAGGGGCCTCATTCCAAGGCAGATCATGCGTCTCTCCGGCTCAGCACTGCATATTATTAGTGGTGCTCCACGTTTTCAGACAGACGTGTTTCCTACTCTTATCTAAAGGTGCTGGGAGTTGAACCCTGTAAAATTTGCATATGATCTACCACAGGGCTATGTCCATATATTAAGAGACGCTACATTGTATGTCCTTACGTGCCCCTGAAATGCTGTGCAAAGATTACAATTCCTCTTGCCAACAGGTGCGCCAATGAAAGGTCTTTATGTGCTCAAATGCAGATTATATCCAATCATACATTCCGTCAGCACATGAAAGTCTTGCACAAATTTCAAGATCAGGCTGCCAATCAGATACATGAATAATAAAAGACAGACTTACCTCTACAAGGAGCTCCACAACATCACTGGGCATTTTTTCAATAAGGATTTCGATAACCCTCAGGATTTCTCCTTTGGCCCGAGCCAAGGTAGTGGTATGAATGTTCTGCTGCGACTGAGTGTTTGCTTGGAGAGCCGTGTGCCTATGCACCTGCAAAGACCAGACAGATTATCCCAGGTGCCTTAAATTTCTCCCTAGATTTGGGTTCCAAGTAGCAAATTGTTTTCCAACTAGCACCAACGTGCTACCATCTCATCATTCTTCTGTTCTGATATCCGCAGTTGGCACAGACTGCTGGCTGCACGAGGTCTGTTGCATTTTTTCCATGTGTGACCTCTGACCACCCCCACCCAGAGAAGGTCACTGATGCAAATGAATGCACGTGCACAGCAATCTAGCAACATGAAAAGCAAAAAGGAACAGAATATATCAAGATTCCCTTATTACACTGTGATTTAATTGATGCACATATAATTGTATTTTATTTTATTTTATTTTATTTCAGGAATTCCCCAACTTGTAATAAACCAGAAGTAGAGTGGAGTTCAGGGAAGAGCCAATCCATAGAAAGAGAATGAAATAGAATTGGAATCATATGGTCACCTTTACCAATTATATGTACCTAGGAAACTTGACCAACTGATGTATTTCACCCTTTCCAATGGATTCTTAGTTTATTTCCCAACAATATAGTCACACATACTTTATCCAGCACTATGCCGTATCTAAAGGGCTGGAGGAAACAATCCTATGGCCCCTAGACAGTGCTCTGACCTTGGAGCTGGAAATCAGAGTTTTGCCCCTCCTCCACCCTCTGGATCCACTACAGAAAGAACCATGCCAGCTGCTCTCCAGGGCTGTACAAGTAACCTCGGAGAGGAGAAAAGGGGTGCATTTGGGGGACAGGGAGGAAACTGGAGAGGCCAGTCCTGTAATTACGCCAGGCTCCTTCCTTACTCCTTCTTGGTTCTTTAAGTGATTTAAAAACCCCATTTAGTGTAAAATGAGGGGTAGGACGATGGGGAGGCAAAGATCAGCTCTGCTACTCCTCCAGCTCTACTTAGGAAACCATTAGTCTCTGAGCTATGGAGCTTTCCAGCGCTGCAACAGGATTGCACCTTTATTGAGTTGTTTGTCTGTCTGTTTGTTTTGTTTAATGGTAAGCTTTAATTGGTGGATTATTTTCCCCAAGTGCCCAGAATTAATATCATGGGATCTACCATATCATTTCTTCTTTACAGTGTGCACTTGGATGATCTTTAGAAGGTCAATCATTTCTATTCTGGTTAACTTGATCAGGAAGAAGTCTCAGTTCTAAGTACCTAACTGGAAACTCAATTAAAACCAGAGCTCGCAGCTGGGTGAATTCTGAGGCTGCATCCTTCCCAGCACAACCAGAAGTATTCTAAGATCACAGAGGTGTCTCCTTAGCTGCCCTAAATGCACTCTTTTACCCCAGTAGTAGCCTGAATGTACGCTGGAAGCCTTGGCAAGTTCCTTCTATTTGGGCAGATGCTTGCTAGCCTAGAGTGGGTATGTGACATGGGGGAAGCATTTACATTTACTGGAGATCTGGTATTTTCATTTCGAACAATGAAGTACTGACTGTTACAGAAGACAAAGTCCAAAAAGGCATAGAAGATGCATATTGCAGGCACCTTTGGCAGCAATGACTCAGACGGGGGTGGCCAGGCCATACTGTTTGCCCAGTTTTTACAGAAATGGGAAGCTCTGTGAGTCTAGCTAGCTCCATATTTGCATGGCCTCACATTGAATTCTGGTTCTTGGTCACAGTACAGTGTCGCAGTGTGACAAAATAAATATTAAATATATACTGGGGTGCCAAAAATGTGTACTGATTAAGAGATGCTTTCTTTTTGAAGTTGAATTGAATCAGGTCAGCAATGTGGAAAATGACGTTTGCTCGAAAGATGGCGTTAAGCAAATGAATACTAGTGTCACCATATGACTTGCAGGACAGTAAAAAAAATGGCGGAACAGCCTGCACAGAGATACAAGCGGGCACTTTGGTCAACGTGGCTCAAGCAGTAGTTTAACGTAATCAGAAGTGTCTGGATGCTGATGGTAACCACTTTGAGCACCTCTTGTAATTGCAGAAGTTAAATGTGACTTCTATTCACCTTTTACTATCGGTATATATTGAGTAATACGATTTTAATACAGTTTTTCTTTCTTTCTTAAAATGCATATGCATTTTTGGCACCTTCTTTTGCTCTCCTTTCTTCTATAGCCAACAAGCACATTACTTTGGGTTATGGGGTGGCATAGAAATGGAAATTAATTAATTAATTAATACTTGTCTAGAGTCCACAAGGCCCAAATAAATACACAGGTCAAATTACCTTGTAAGTTACTTTACAACTCCAGAGGTTTGCTAGTCCAAGTGTTGTTCAGTAGTTTTTCACTTCTCCAATACCATAGACAAACTTATTATTAAAGGAAATAATTTATTTCCTTTCTTGCAGTGGAAGCTGTTTGGGCACTCTGAATGTGTGTGTGTTTGTCAGCATGTGCGTGCACACCAATTGCCCACAAACAGCATGCAAAGACTGTTATATAGATCATGTATGATGTGTACCAAACATGTACACAGATGAGACATTTTTTTAAAAAGCAGAAGATATGAAAGATAGTTAAATCGATCTGCCCAATCCATTTCTTGTTGCTAAACAATGAGGCAATTGTCCCTTCTGAAGTGGAGAACTGTGAACCCTGGAGAAGTCCCCCTGCTCACCTCCTTGGCGATGGTTGTTATAAAGGCGTGTGGTCTGGCCGTGGCAATGAGCGAGAGAGCGTGTCGTGCCGAGCGGGCGGAGTCAGCTGCTGGGCTCAGAGGCAGCCCCATTGTGATGCTAATCAGAGATCAGACAAAGAGGGAAGGGTGGAAAAAAGGAAGAAAGGGGGCATTAGAAATATAGAGTGAAAAGATTAGACACAGCTTATAATGTCAGTTCAAGGTCAACGGGAGCACTCAAACAGTTAGAATATAATGGACTTCCAACAATGAACAGTGATTAGGAGTCAGGGTGTTCTAGCATCTAATACAAAATCAAATAATTAACCGTGAAGATTGAAAACAGTATGTGCATCTGTCCAAAGCGTTAAAAAGGCCTTGTTAACAAATTATCTAGCATAGTCCTGAATACATATCAAGAACTCAGGCCAATGCAAATGTACACTGTCATCCAAAGCAACTGTAGCTTTTATTTCTGCAATCTGGACAATGTGCACAAAGCTTTGCCATTATTATAATTCCAATCAGCAGGTACATTTTCCCCTAGCTGACAGCACAAAGGAACACTGGAAATACTGATTTCATTTCCATATGGGCAGCTTGTGTGAAGTTGCCTTCTTTCCTAATACAGCTATTCTAAAACGGAGATAGACAGTACCAAGTATCTAATGCTCACGTTTGGAGTTTTATGTTGCCCAGGCGTTTTTTCTTGAGAGATAAAATAATTACTTGTTTCTTAACAACACCAGTTACTCAGGCACACTGCAGAGTAGGTGGATCAGACTTTGCAGCAATGAGCAGCTAGTAAGCAACCCATAATTTAAGGAATAGAAAACACAGAACTTTATCTAGAAAGTCAGTAACAAGCCACCTTTGTTGACCAACCGACATGAATGAATACCTCCTGCTATTTTAACTATGGTCCATTTGCGAGACTCCAAACTGCAGTTGGCATCCTACTTTTCGCAGACAAAAGCACCACTGGGTAAATCTGGTCAGTTTATCCAGCAGATGACAGAAGGCAAACCTAAGGCTATTGTGGCTCAGTACAGAATACTTTGCAGACTGCGGTAAAGTGCCTTCCATTGTCCAGGGAGAGGCAACTCTCAGCCTGGGAACTTCTAGAATATTTCACATTTGACAATCTTCATTGACATCAGTTTAAAGGTAGCAACTAGTTCTCTTCTTGCCAGCAGATAGTGTACAGTATAGTGAAACAAGCGTGCTTGAGAAAGAATGGTCTGGCCACTGCAGACGGGGTTTGGATTGGCATGTGATCGCCTTCCAATGCACCGGTTTCTTCCTTGCTTCCTTGTAGCCTGCTGTGATGTCTAAACTGAGAAAACTGTGGACTGCTCAAAACTGGATGTAAGGGACAGCACCACAGTGCATGGTGGAAGTGTGAGCACCAGCAGACCCTGTCATGATGACCAGACCACAGCTTTGCTATCATAATTTGGCCCCCTACATGAGAGGTTACTTCTGCTAATTGCCTCTTCCAGCTACAGATCCCCATGCCATTCCTGATGGAAACTCCAGCAGGAAGAAGCTAGTTAGAAACACCCTCATTCAAACCCAGGCTTGTAACAAAACAAAGCAACCTTATATATGCATAAAATGCCCTTTAGCAACTGTTCCTAGTGAATTCTTTAAGGCAAACTGGTCAGCCCAGTTGGAAAACCTAATAGCTGAAGGAAAGAAATTCATGCACTAAGTTGCAGATCAGGAAAATGTTTTTCCTTCTTTTAAAAAGACCAAAGTGCAAAACACACATAAAGAAAAGATGAAGTATGAGTTGCAGGTGAGGACCTTTTGCATAAGAAGGAAGCAGGTGCTTGATTTTCTGCATAAAGGTTCCTTTAGAACATCACCTAATAAGGCTATACAACTATAAACCTCTTTCTTGGTTGGAAACCTATTTATTTCCATGAAGCTTACATTCAAGCAAACATGCATAAGATCAGCTTGTACAACAGCTAATGTTTCAAATAGTGCTATCGATAATAAAATGCCTTTCAATTAATGGTTTACATTTCAATAAATCAACACATTAAAATAAAGGCATTTCTGATACAGTGAAATATAAGCTTACAAATAAGAAAGTGCATTTTTTACATTTTATACTTCCTTATGACCAGAACTAAACAAATCTCAAACAAGTGATTGTTCGGCACCACCAACAGCAGCTGAACCCTATAAATGAATCGACTTAAAATTAGTAGACAAATCAGCCCATTATGGGTTGCAGCCCCACTGAAAGGCATAGAAAGCCCTACTAAGGCATCGCATGTTTGGCTAATGGTTCCTAAAAATGCCACACCTACCAGGCTGCCAGAAGAAGGGCCTTTTCAGTAGTGGCACCCTGACTCTGGAACCAGCTCCCCAAGAAGGCAAGCCTGGTGCCTACTCTCTACTCTTTTTGCCAGCAGATAAAACCCTTTTTATTTTCCTGGTATTGTAATAATACAATATTTATATTCTCGCTTAAATATTGCATTTTTTTCTGGTATTGCTGCTGTGCCTCTGTATCAACTGACTGCAATTGCTGTGAGTTTATTGTTGTGTTACTGTTTTATTGAATTTATTTACTGTTCTATTGTGATATGCTGCTCCTGGTTGTTTACATGTTCCGATTTTTAATTGTTGTTAAGCACCCAGAGAGCCTTGGGTTGTTGGGAGGTATAAAAATTAAATAAATAAATAAATACACACACCTGAACTATAAACCACACCTCTGATCTTGGAGCAGCTACACAATTTTGGAACCCCCGTTCAGAACTCTGCCTATTTATATTTCCTCCCATCTCTCCTGCAACCTCTTCACTGTAATTTTTTATGTTTCTGCACTTTCTGGGGTGGGGGGGCACTGAAGAAAAGCGACTATTTTAAAACATGATAATAATAATGATAACCCCTTGGTAGAACTCCTATATTTTAAGATGTATCTGCTCCAAGTTTTCAGACTTTCTGTCCCAAGAAAGATCTGTACATGTTCTCTCCTCCTCCTGTTGGGCATGGCATGGATTTTTCTGAAAAGCAACAGGCTCCTTGTTAATTCATTAATGACACTCTGTAGTGTTAGTATGTGGTCATAGATTAATCCCCTCCTGTAGCTGGGCCAGCTGGTCTGTCAAGGCAAGAACAGGGCATGAAGGAGCACACGCACCGACTGCACCACTGCGGACCAAACAAGAGGCAGATGCAAAGCTAACATGAATGTAGGCATATCAGGCCCATCTCTTATTGAGGAAAGAGTAACATGCAGAAGGCTTGTATTCCTTTTTCACACACACACACACACACACACACACACACACACACACACACGATGAGGATGATGATGATGAAGTTTGCTAGCCCTGCAGCTGATATTATTATTAAATCCCTTCATAGAATAAGGTATCTGTTCAGGAAGGGGCCATAACTCATTGACTTCTCTCTTCCCTTAGAAGAGGCCATTGATTTTGCAAAGCTTGCTGTGCAGGGAGAGGTTTGCTGAATTCAACCCCTGACATCTTCAGCTAAAAACACCAGGTATCCCTGAATAGTTTGGCTCCACTGGGTTGCAGCAGGAGTGGTGGAGAAGCCAGAGCAAGCCCATACTTTGTCATGGCTCAGGGTTCAAGAAAATTTGGGCTGTTGTGACATGCAAACTGGGCAGGAGGGATGATGTCCAAAAATAAAAAGGACAGTGCTTTTTTTTAAAAAAAACTATTGTCATGATGGAGGAAACTGCAGCTAAAAATATTTATTTATGTCTGGCGAGAGGCACCGGCCAAATTTTCTCTTTTGTACCAACTTTTCCATTAACCATCTTTCCTCAGTTCAATTACAAGCTTTTAAAACAAGAAGCAATATGGTAAATAATTAAAATGGGGCCTGTTTTATAGGTTTGGGTTTATTTATTTGTTTATTTATTTATTTATAAAAGTGGCCATCTGCTTTCCGTTATAACTAACCCCAAAGTGGAGTACAAAGCCAATAAAGCACATTGAAACGTAGGGACTGAAGATGGGTCCTGCACCTGCATGAGCTGAATTGCAGGTGGATGGCACAAGCGTCCTTCCACCGACGAAGGATGAGGGGAAAGAAGCAGGAAAGCCTCAGGAATCCTATTTTGGGGAAATCTTAATTTGTTTTGCACATTTAAAGAAATGTGTGGAAAAAGCAGCTTGAAGCACACCTCTGCTTTCCCAACGGTTAATAGCCCCAAAGCTGAAATGATTTCAAAGAGCCTGTTTCATTTTTTTGAAAAATTGGGCCACACCATGGTATAAAGAATAATAACTACATAAAGCAGAATTCAAGCACCTTGCAACAGTTCTGATTTAACTGAATCACTGGGAAAAGATCTCCTGAAAGGGGGCGGGGGTGTGCAGCTCAAAGGGTCTGCATGCAGAAGGTCTCAGGTTCAAGCCCTGGCATCTCCAGGCAGGGCTGCAAAGTCCATCTGGAACTCTGGAGAGCTGCTGCCAGTCAGTGTGGACAGCACTGAGCTAGACAGACCAATGCTCTGATTCAGTATGTGGCAGCTTCCTATGCACCATGTGATCACATTTCCATGATGGGAAAAGCAAAGGTAACTGCATATATCCTTATTTCCCATCAATTCTAAGCTTCTGTCACTTGGTGCAAGTTCCTCAGAAAGCATGTGACAAAAGAGGTATTTTTCCCTGTAGAAACGTTTTATCTATATTTTATCTTTACTCCAAGGAGTACAAAGCTATGTACACAGTGTTAAGAATATAAGAGCTATGCCAGATCCCCCTTTAAACCACATCTTATGGAAGAAAAAAATCATAATTTAGTCATGCGCTTTGTGAAATACTTGCTTTCAACTGCCCTGAACTTCTCACCAATCAGCTTCATGAGTAACACCAAGTTCTAAATCTTATGGAACAGAGAGATGAATGTCTCCCTACCCACTTTCTCTGCATAATTCTGAATGACTTTAATCATGTCTTTCCTTATTTGCCTTTTTTCTTAACTTACACAATCCGACCTGTTATAACCTTTCTTCACAGTTGCTCTGGCCCCCATAATATTTTAGTTGCCCTTTTCTGCACTGTGTTCAACTCTGAAATAGTCTTTCTGATGGGAATGAAAGAGACAGTTATT